TATGATATGTTACATAAATTTATTATTAGATGATAATTATTTTTTTAATATTATTTATTAACTTGATTTAATCTATTTATTTTTATTATTTCATTTATTTCAACTATAATCGATCATTATCATTTTATAATATTAACTTTTAATATACTATATGTTATATATTATATCAAGTTTATGATTTATTAGTATTTTTATAATATAATAAAAATATAATTTGTGATTTGGATATATAAAAATCGACCCAAATTAAACCGCATTAATTTGGATATGATCAGATCATATTTTTTTAGTATATCATTCAAAACTTAACTGAACCGCAAGTAAAATTATCTTTGAATCAAATGAGTTTTTATCTTAAAATCGATCTAAACCGAATCGTGAACACTCTTATAAATGAATGCAAAAGGCATATGTAATATATTGCACCCAACATTTTCTCTTCCTCAAGATTTCAATGAAACGAGCATCCATAATTTATTATTCACCAATAATGATGACCATGAATCAAATTTAAATTTTGTTATATATTTTTACAGAAATATCTTATGTAAACAATTAATTTATTAATAATTTATAATTTGTAACAAATTTTTTATAGAAAAAAATCTATCTTACCTCTCGATTTTATTGCATAGTTGATGTAAAAAAAGTAACATTCTATTGTAATATTTTAAAGTGCTAAATCATATGAATAATTTAAAATTTACTTTGTGACTTAGTAAAATACATGATTACGATTGTTATTGATTGAGGGTGTAAAAATAATTAAAATTGTCCTCCCCTTTCTCTTTTTATAGATATATGATAGATAATAGGCAAAAAAAATCCTAGAATTCTTTAGTTATTTAATTGTAAATTTAGCCTAGATAATAATGAGAATAACTTGTCATACTTCATTTTCATCAATCATGTAGTGTAACTACTTGTGGTTCAGAGAGAGAGAGAAAATGGGCATGGTGGCAAGAAGAGTAACCCAAGTTTTGGGAATAACCAACAACAGCAAGATCAGGAACATCTCATTCAAATCCCTAGATCCACCATTACCATCACCTTCACTCTGCCATGGAATCCACGTTTTTCATTCCCCCGTAAGTTATTCACTCACATTCCACGCTTTTTACTATTGCAAACTCGTAAAGGAATGGTTTTTTCATGACCCATTACTCAATTTGAAAATGGGTTTCTTCAATTATTTGGAATGGAAATTGAATTTGTGTTTTTTGTTCTGATGTTTTTGATAGGATGCTGTTGGAATTGTTGCAAAGTTATCTGATTGTATTGCTTCTAGAGGTGGAAATATTTTGTCTGCTGATGTCTTTGTTCCTCAAAATAAACATGTCTTTTACTCTAGAAGGTACTCTCTTTTATCCTTTCTCTATAGCATCGACACCTTTGAAAAAAAATTTGTCTGTGTGAATGTCGTTCAAAGATACCGACACTTGTGATTAAGTTCAATTATTCTTTTTTTCAAATTATTATCGGCGTCAACGTGTCTGGTGTTGTTTGGATTGACATATTTAAACTTATCTATTAGCACAAACATATTCAAACTTATATGAAAAGAGTTTGACTCTATTTTATATTTTGTTATAGAAATAGCTTATAGATATGTGCATTATATGATAAACGCCTTGCTTCGTAGGTATATTTTTATATGATTTCAAATCAGCCCTTAGGGATTGTTCTTAGCAGGAACTAGGTAACGAGGATCGATTTGGATTAGCTTCTAGCTTACATGAGCTTACTCAAATAAAATAAATTTATGATTCTTCTGATACAGAAATGTTCTCTTAAGCTTATAGATGTCAACAAAGAAGTTAAAGATATAGAAGCTAATTTACTCATACATGAAGTTGTTCCAAAATCTGATGATTTTAGTAGCCATTTTTTTCTTTTCACAACTGCATATAGGAAGCATGGCTGTCTTTGAAGGCATGCAAGTCAGGCTATTGCACATGGCCTAGAATTTGTTACGGTTAAACTCTGGCTAAAAAGGGTTTCATAAAATGTTTCTCATAAGGAAATCATGGTTAAATAGCGCATTTTTTATTTTACCATGATTAAACTGAGCCTAACCTACACAGAGCCTCCAAAAACTTGCGACGACTCTGCTCGGAAGTTGCTCTAAACGGGTTCTATTACTATTTCTGTATGCTTTGACATGCTTTGGTGTCTAGTTTATCTTAGTGTGACTGCTTGAGCTGAGTTTCATAATCCAATGCATAGTTTAAAAAGTATGATCTGAACTCACATGCATGCAAGGGGCAACTAGTTATATCTATTTGAATGAATGTATGGAAACAACAATGCCTGCATCTACATTGACTTGTGTTGATCATTGCAGTGATTTTGTTTTTGATCCTCTTAAATGGCCACGGATGCAGATAGAGGAGGATTTCCTCAAGCTTTCTCAGGCGTTCAATGCAACGAGATCTGTCGTGAGAGTGCCGGCTCTAGATCCTAAATATAAAATAGCCGTTCTTGCATCAAAGCAGGTGTGCGTTATTATCACTCTCGTCACGTTACAGAGACATACATAGACGGAAACAGATTCCCTGCAATAATTGACTCACGTAGTTACTAATCTCAACTGTCCAATCTAAATCATTCGTCCAGATTCCTTAATATTGATTTAATGAATATATAATCTAAGCCGTCTGATCTCGAATAATGACTGAGATTGATTATAGCTCGTAACTGTGGTATTAATACTGCAGCGGATATGTTGAAGCCTTTTTTGTTTTGCTGCAGGACCATTGCTTGGTCGATTTATTACATGGTTGGCAGGATGGAAGACTCCCAGTGGATATCACTTGTGTGATTAGGTGAAAATTTTCAGAAATTACACTAATAAGTTGGACTTCTATCTCTTTTATATGCATTTTTGTTCAGGTTTTAATTATTTGATACGATGTATTGATCAGTAACCATCATAGAGATTCAAACACCCATGTGATTCGTTTTCTTGAAAGGCACGGTATTCCATATCATTGTTTAACCATGACCAAAGAAAATAAAAGAGAAGGAGAGATATTAGAGCTTGTTCAGAATACCGATTTTTTAGTACTTGCAAGATATATGCAGGTAAATAACTAATTACAGTTCTTGTTCTCCACATGTTATTTTTACTATTGATGCTTAACAGCATTGATTTATATGTAAAGATACTATCGGGAAACTTTCTAAGGAGCTACAGTAACGACATAATAAACATTCACCATGGTTTGTTGCCGTCATTCAAGGGTGGTCATCCATCTAAACAGGTTGATCTTCTCACACTCTGACTGGTCAAGCTGTTGCCATGGTCATTCATCTTCATGTTTAATATGCTATTACTGTTTTGGCAGGCCTTTGAGGCTGGTGTGAAATTAATCGGCGCAACAACTCACTTTGTGACCGAAGAACTTGACGCCGGACCTATAATTGAACAAATGGTGAACATATATTTTTTCCTTACATGTTTCTAGTTCCTTTGTAATAAAATGTGAATGTTGATCTTAACTAACAATTGTAATAAGGTGTTTATCCAAACATGGTTGTTAAGAATCCCATATCAGAGCCGAACCACATTTCTTAACATAGTATCACGGCCTAGTTACGATCTAATGACCTGCTAAGAGGTTTCATCTTTCGGGCTATTCACCATTTATTTCCATGCTCCAGATATTCAGTACTGGGTGTGAGAGGGTGTGTTAAGAGTCCTACATCAGATAATATATGGCCTGAACATGCAATCTTAACAATGGTTATGAACCGTTTCGATTTTGGTTTGATGTTTATGTGAGTCTAAAGTGGTTGAATCTGATTTGCAGGTTGAGAGAGTTTCACACAGAGATAACTTGCAGAGCTTTGTGCAGAAATCAGAAAACCTCGAGAAACAATGTCTTTCCAAGGCTATAAGATCTTATTGTGAACTTAGAGTATTACCTTATGAAGGCAAAAAGACTGTTGTATTTTGAGGGAAACCAACAGATAGCCAACCAAACATAATGCACATCAAAATTCGGGGTGCATTTGTATTTACATTCAATCATTTACTTGTAAAATTCAAATAATGTTCCATTTTACTTTAATTGCAAAAAGTAAGGATAAAAAGTACTCACCATGATTCATTTGGTTCTTATCACATTGATATTGTAATGAATAGAATCAAAAGCTGTAAATCCTAATTCAACTGGTAAAAATCGATATTGTTAGGTTAGACATCAACACATGGGTTTGAACCTTGACTCTCATGGTTGTGTTTGACAAAAATAAATATTATTTGGTTAGATGTCAACACTTAGGTTTGAACCCCAACTTTCAGGTTGTGTGTGAATTTTTAGTGGTTATAACTACTTTGTCTAGCTCCAATTTGTATTATGTTCTCTCCAAACCTATAATCTAATCATCCTAATAAAATGTAATATTTGTAACATATGTATGTTTGACTTCAAACTTGTTTTTAGAGTAGAAACATTCAAATATAAATCACTTAAAAAATTCAATTTTAATCATACCAATTTTACAAAATAAATTTCACTCAAATTACTTTTATGACACATAAGTAGGCAAGTAGCACTTGGTTAAAAAAAATTACAAACTGCAATTTGTTTCTACTAAACAAAACTAAAACGCCCTTGAATACCAGACACGAAATCGACACAGACACATCAACACTAGTAAAAATTTAAAAATATAGAATAAATTAAACAAATCATAAATCTTGGTGTTGTGTTAGTTAGACAAAAACACATTTTTTTTCCAAAGACAACACATTTCTTCAGAGATGTTTGTGCTACATAAGTTGTAATAACATTTTATATTAATAACATGTAGAACAATAACAATTTGTTCAAACTTTTCTACATTCTAGTGCTATATAGTGCAGTGTCATTCAATTTATTATTGGTTATAAGCAATGTGTAAAATATAGTGATACAATACAACATGTCACTAGCTTCTTAAAAGTATCATTTCAACAGAAAGCAATAGAATTAGAAACTTTGAGGAGCTGAATGTCAACTTGTAGCAAGTTGGAAAGCTCTCAAGAATGCTTCTGGGGGCTGTGCACCACTTATCTTCTGAGTCCCATTAATCTGTCAAATGAATAAATGAGTCAGAGTGAGTTTGGAATAACAACGAGTTTAACAAAATAACGATGTGTCACCGTGATTTTTGTAAGGTGATTTTTGTAAGGTTTGGATTAGCGAGGAATTTGACAGAATCATGACGAATCACCGTGATTTCTGTAAAATATATACTTTAGAGCTTCAACGAAATTATAGTGTCAACTGTCATCACGATTTTGTTAAACTCCGTGTGCAAGCACTCAATCGGCTCGGTGTTGAACACTAAGTAAATAAAAGAAAAGTATTAACATTGTGTACACCTACCACATAATGTGGAACCCCTGAAATGTTTCTTGAGTATGTTTTAATCTCATCCTCCACCTAGAGAGATTCATGGAAAGCAAGATCAGCAGAGGTGCAATATTATTCAATAACTAAAACCGAACATGATAATTGCTTATGATATCTATCGTGATAGGACATTCGAATTCTCTGTAGTCAAGTAGTCATGGATTCCGGCCGTTACGTATTCATATTTTGAAATACATTGTCAAAGCTAGTTTTGATGAAGTTAGATTACAAATCGTCAGATCATCATTCAACAACCGACTGATATCCTTTGACTACAGAGAATCCAGATCCGATTGCACAACCAATAAAAATATGCGCGGATAACTAGCAACTAAAGATTGTATTGAAAAAACCTTACCTCCTTCAGCCCATTGTTAGGGTCCTTAAGAAACTCTTCTGCTCCTTCTATACCGACCTTGGCAGAAGCTTCAAGAAGAAAATTCCTGCAATAAAAAATTGTCAGCTAAATCCTTCCGCAAATTACCACTCATTTTCCATGACCCTGATTTCATATATGAAGCACTGACACTGACACACAAACACCGGTAATAATTTGGAAACATAGATGTGATCTTATCTAATCACAAGTATCATTGTTATGTTGGTATTTGACACTCGGACAAGTCTTTAAACACAGAACACGCCGCAGCATAAAAAAAGCAAGAAAACAAAAGTACTCACCAGTCACCAATGTATTTTCCCTGAGTGAAATAACCAAGGCATAGTTCTTCAACCAGATCATGTTGCTTATCAAGACCCTGCTTTCCAGAAAAATATATAAGCCTGTGGCTGTCGATAGTGTTTCCCCTGCGTGATAATTCAAACAATGTAAGTTGAACCTCAGTAAGTCGGGATGCGATTCTCTCCCGTGAAATTTTCACTCCAGTGGAAATCCTCAATCCTCGCCAGTGGCTGAGTTTCCACTGTAGAAAATTTTCACAGGAGAGAATCCGTTTCCGACTTAGACAACACTCCACTTTTAAAGTGGTTGGTTGTTTATTACAAAACAAGATCATTCGATGAATCGCAACTCTTAATCTTACGTGAGTCCATTCAAACTATAAACAAGACCGACTCCTTTGAAAACCTGTCGAATGAAAATATTTACTTGCTCAAACTCAAAGATGTGATGAAATACAAACATGATTACAATCAACAATAACAAATGCGATTAAAACCTCCAACATTCGAGCTTCCATCTGAACCGATCGGGATCCAAACTTGCTTCTGTAAAACTCCCTCTTGTCAATGCCTTCTTTAGGGGCATCAGGGTTGAGTTGATACGGATGCCATTTAATCTGCGAGTTCAGTTAAACAGCAGTTAGCACAGGGAATAAAATAGCAGTTTGTTCAAATTCACTCTAATGACGAATCGTTCAAATTCTGAAACAATGCTATAATGCTATAGCCGCGATTTTACAACACTGGAAAAACGAGATATATTTAGACGTTAAAACACACATCGAAAATCGAAAGGGAGAATGTCAGACCTCAAAGTTGTATTTATCCTTAGAGGAAGCTATGGCTTTGTCAAGATTCTTTTTGCCAACAAAGCAAAATGGACATACAGTATCAGAACTAATGTCGATTCGGACGAGTTTCTTTTCGGATATAGAACTGTTAGTTTCAGTCATGATCCTGCTGTATCTGCAATGTCTCTAAAACACAAATGAATGACAAGATTGTTATAACAAGAAGGAAAAACAATCTATTACCTATCAAACACGGACACAGACTGGGACACCGATATCAGACACGACATGTTGACACTAATAATAATTTTAAAACATGCTAGAAACAACTCAACGACAATTTATACAAAATTCAATGAAAAAAGAGATTGATTTTGAAAATAAAAACAAAAAAGCAATCAGAGTCAGAATAGAACACAATCAAATGGAAAAGACGGCATGGTTATAAACAATCTAGACAAGAGAAAAGTGAAGGATAAAGAGAGAGAGAAAGAGGTACCAGATTTCAGAAGATTTGCCAGAGAATTGGAATAGTTGTTGTATGATGTTGAATTTTATTAGAGGTGAAAATAATAAATAATATTAATTTTATTTTTGAAGAAGATTATTATTATTTTTTTAATCAAGAAATTATATATTAATTCAAAAACTACTATCTTCAGATTCAACCCGATAAAAACGCCAAAAAAAAAAAACACTACATCATCAAATTAATGTCTTTGGAGCACTCTTTGAGTGCTTAAAGTAGTAAGATTTTTTAAAAATGCATTTAATCAATATATTGAAAATTAGAATAATTGATTTTTGTAAAAAATATTCTCTTTATTTGGTATTCTTAAAGAGTGTTCTCAGAGCACTCGTTAGCATGAATTATTATTATTATTATTATTATTATTATTATTATTATTATTATTATTATTATTATTATTATTATTATTATTATTTAACTTTATTGATTCAATTATTATTTTTCTCAATCTTCGTGTAACAACCTTAAATGATTATTATTTTGAGACGAATGGAGTATACGATTGTGTTTCCGAAGGTGTTGGAAAGTCGTAGATAGAAATTTATTTGATCTAAAGTCATTGTTTGAGAATTGAGATTGTTTACCAATCAGAACGGGGACACATTCATTTCACATGTACCAGTATTAACTACTCATAGTTAGGGGTGATGAAATCGGCCGTGATCCGTCGAACGGGCCTGCACACTTGTCAAAAAATAATGGGTTTGGTTGGAATTTTGGGTCTGCCGCCCACTAAAACCTGGTCCGTCAAAATCTGTTGTCTGCTAAAGCTCGCTTTGCCAAAATTCGTCGTCTGTCAAAGACTGTCATGTCTATTCTTTCAGCCAATGCCGCCTTAAGTCCATCATTTTTTTAGTTAATTCTAGTCATTTTAATTTTTGATAGTTTTATTTTATATATTTATTTGTGCTTATATGCATTACTTTTTGAAGTAAAACTTGTTAAAAAAGATACTTTAGAAAAAATTATTCTAAAAAATAATTAAAAAATCTAATTGAAAAGTAAAAAAAGTCTATTAATCTATTAAAATAATATATAAAAAATAGGCGTGCAAGCCCACCAACATATCACCTTGACGGATCAGACTAGATTTTTATGTCTATTTCTAAAGTTGCCCCACTTTTTTTTTACAAATTTAAAACAGCATGAAACGGAACGGACGGTCCGTTTTATCACCCCTACTCATAGTGATGCAACAATAGAGAAGGAGTAGAAGCGGAACAACATTAGACAATTTATTAATCCAATGTTGAATCAACTATGACCTGCCTTCAATGTTATAAACCTCTTGCTCTCTATGTCTCTCACACTGGTATATACAAAGTAAATTTTCAATACTGACTAGTAAAGGACCCGTGCGTTTGCACGAGTCACGCTATAGAGATTATTCATTTTTTATATCAGAATGTGTAATACCGAAAAGAAAATTATTTTATAATATTATTTTTTTTATGTAAAATTTGATAACACTTGTAATTTATATAAAGTAGAATAAATAAGTAAAGAAACATAAACATTGATCTCAATATCAAATAGGAAGCTACGAAGAGAACTGGAAAAAAGAAGTTATCTTAATACAACAATTTAAACATAAAAATCGCATAGACAAATTATCCTACTAGTTGATAAATTCTTGAATGCTTTCTGATATGCTTAGCATACAAAGTATGTAAATCCCTTTGATAATAAAAGTTTAATACATCACCAACACTAAATTTTCTAGATATTGCATACTCATAGCATCTATTTCCGAGATATTCCTCCGTGTTTTTTGTTTTTTTTTTGCTTTGATATTCTAAGAGTCATAGTACTCCATTTCATCAAAGTCCACAAATTGATTTCACTTTTGTTCGTGCGTAGACCACTCCTAACAATTTCGGAAGGAAAATGTTAAAAAAATAGAATTTTCAGTTAGTTTACACATAAATAAATTTAGACAATTAGAAAGATAACTACGTAAAGTCAATAAAATATCTTATTTGAACTATCACCATGACATTATTTCCGACCATAGATCCTTTTGTAATTTCTTTTTCAAAAAGAACTCATTTTTATAATGATGTATGTTGGTTTTTGAAGGTTGTGAATTAGCATGATTATCATCCACCTGATGCACAACAGAATCCTTAACATCTTTTTTATCGGAATTTATTTTATGAAAGAAATAGTAAATAGTAAATAAATATAGTATAGTGATAGTTAAGAAATATATATATATTTTAGTAATCTCGTCCCGTCGAAAATGTATATTTTAGTAAAAAAAATTAATGAAATAATTAAGTAGTCATCTACCCATGTGTTCGCATGAGTTGTGCAATATCGTTATAAACCGTAAATAAATATAGTACAACGATGATTAAGAAATGTATTTAAAATATATATAAATTAAATAGTCTTGACCCGTCGAAAATATAATTTATTTCCGTTTATAAAAATAATTGTATCAATAGTTGAATTTTCTCGTTTATAAAAATATTTATAATTTATTCTCATTTATTAAAATGATTGTAACGTATTCTCGTTTATAAAAATAATTATATAAACATATAGAATTTCCCCGTATATAAACGTCTTAAAGTTGTGTGTCCATTTATAAAAATATTTATAATTTATTCCCGTTAAAAAATATAATTATTAATATAAAAATTTCTTAATATAAATCACTATAAAGATATATTTTTTTAAATATTAATATCAATATTTAAACTTATAAATAACGACTCAGCTAATCATAATTAAATGATATAATTTAAATAGTTAAGAAGCAAAACAATAATTTTTAAAAATAATGATTCAATTTTTATTTAACAGTTATATATATTTTGGAAATTAAAAATATATTTAATTATACAATTAAATATTCTACGTTCATATTAACTATAATTTAAAAAATTGTCCACTAATTGAGGCCAAACTTTTTAAAACATATGATAATATTTTTAATTTAACCATTTTATTGCAATGCATATAAAAACTTTACAATCTAATTGCATATAATATTTTTTAATATTAAAAGTTATTTTAATTATTATTAAATAATACAAAACTATTACAATTTATTACGAATATAAAATTACAGAAAAATAAAATACATTAATATATGAACTAATTATATTATATTACTGTTAATTGTTATTATTAAAAATGAAATAAAATAGAATCTAATTCATCCCTTTTGAATCAATCAAGTGAAAGGTGTAACGCCCGTTTATTTAATTAACTATTTAATTAAATTATTTTTGTGTTATTTGTTGAAAAGTGTGAGATGTTGAGAATTGTTTGTATAAATTGCTAGATTATTATTAATTAATTAATTAGTTGATTAATAATAATAGTAATGTTGGAATTAATAAAATATTCGCGTGGACCTATTTTATATGGTGGTATGTAATATTAAGGGGGTGTGAGAATTAAGCCCAATAGAAATACTATTATTATTGAGTTTAGTTATAATAATATAAAAAAATAAATTTTTGTCAGGAAGAAGAGGAATAAGGGTTGGAAGAGAGAAAGAGAACGTAGAAGTTACAGCGCAAAGAAGAGAAGAGGCAAAGCGAGGTTCGATCGGAAAAATTGTAGAGCAACCTTCAATTCAAGGTAAGAGTGAGATTCTGACTCTATAATGAGATATTATGATTGTGATTGTTGTTGGGAAATTTTGTTATGATGATGATGCCATGAAACCCCAAGCTAAAACCTATGATAATAGAAATTAGGATTAGAGGATTTGATGATGAAAAAGGATTCGTAATTGGTGTGTAAAAAGTATTGCATTGTGATGAATTGATAGATAGTGAAACTATATGTTTAGATGATTTTTAAGACCCGTAATGTGACAAGATCACAAGAAAATTTGGCCTGGTATAGTGCAGAATCGCAAACAGGAAAACCATGTTCCCATAGAATCGTCGGGCGACACAAGAGATATCGTCGGGCGACGGTGCATCGCCGGACGAAAGTTGAGGCAAGAAGAAGGCATATTTTTGGATAAGCTACTGGAGTGCGTTGCGCCTACCATCGTCGGGAGAAGGGTGACGCTAAGGCAGCGTCGCTGGGCGACGGTTGTCAGTAACTGATAGATGTTTTTTTTTGTTGGATTTTTTGGAATCGACCATAACTTTAGTATTTAGTTACAAAAATGGATGTAGCAGAGTTAGAAATGAATGAATAACAGCATAGGCTATTTATTAGTAACATAAGTGAATAATTGTAGATTAGCATAAGTATAACAGGTAAGATTATTAGGTTACATAGTTGGTCTCGACTCGAAGTATAGTATTAATAGGGGTAATTGATATATATATATATATATATATATATATATATATATATATATATATATATATATATATATATATATATATATATATATATATATATATATATAAGTCGTTGTGATGTCGGTGTTATTTGAAACACCCGTAATTTAAATTAATTAGATTATTTTGGAATAATTGTGAAGTTGTGTGATATTGAGGATCATTGGTATAAGTTGTTAGATTATTATTAATTAATTAATTAGTTGATTAATAATAATTATCTTATGTGGAATTAAAGAGAATATATGAAATAATGTTGGACTTATGCTATTGGTTGGAAGTAGTAAAGTGAAGGTGTAGGTTAGGCCCAAGAG